GTTTTGCGTCTCACTGACATCAGACATGTGACTTTGGACGCTGCGTGTCTCATCTTGGATGTTTCGTGTCAAATTTTGGTCGTTATGTCTCCTTTCCTGGACGTTTTTATTCTCATTTTTCTCATTTTATGTCTCATTTTCGTAACTGTGTATATCCTTTTGGATGTTTTGAGCCTCAGTTTGGTCGTTTTGTGTCTCATTTTCATATTCTGTGTCCCTTTGAAACGTTTTTATTACTAATTTTTGACATTTTGGGTCTAATTTAGGTGATTGTGTGTCTTCTTTTTTGTATGTTTTGCATCTCAGACATTAGACGTCTCACTTAGGTTGTTTTTAGTCTCATTTTTTTGACATTTTGCGTCATATTTTGGTCGTTTTATTGACCATTTTCCATGTTGTAAGTCTCATTTGGGTGTATTTCATTTACACGTCGTCCTTCTGGATGTTTTTTTTGGTATCTATATGTTTCGTATCTCCTGGACGTTGTGCGGATCGCTTTGGGTGGACGATGGAGGAGCAGCTTTGTGTCTGCTGTAGTTCTGATGGTGCGTTCCAGTATGAAGCTGATGATGAGCCACAATGGAGACGAGGAGAAAGGCCACGTGTGGGAGGAAGAGATGCTTTTCCTCGCGGTTCCTTCACGCTTTGGCCGGCCGCCTTTTGGGGGGATTAGAGGCTCTTTTTTTTTTTTTCTCTCCACTTTTTGTTGTGCTTCTGAATCCTCACCGTGGCCAAATACGAGCCTCGGGCCGACTCGGGCTGTTAGCTCGGCGCGGCTTTTCATCCTCGGCGTCCAGGTTATCGGCCGGATGAGCGGCTCCACGCTGGGCGCCGGGGGGGAGTCGGGCCGGCGATAACATCCGGCGTCGGCCTTTTCCTCGTCTCCGGGCGCCGCCTCCAGCGGCGGGAACTCAAGACTCGTTCAGATCGCTCTTTGTAGATAATCTGAGCGAGGACGTGGAACCGATCGGCTTCCAGAACCCTCCGAGTCCTCTCAGACCTTCGGACCGAGCCGAGAACCACCAGAACGCCGGTCCGGTCGCAGAGCTCCGTCCAGAGTCGAGGAGCCTGGAACCGATCCACAGCAGCTTCGGCTCCTTTCACATAACAGAGGATTGAAAATTAAACATTCACGACTAATCCGCTGCGTCCCATTCACTCCAATTATAACAATAATGATGATGTCATGCTTTTTAAAGTCTCTTCTGCTTCGTCACAAACACTTCATGTCTCATTTACAGACGTGTCATTTTGATGGTTTGAGTCTAATTCTGGATGTTTTTTTTGTTGTTTTTTGGTCATTCTGTCTCATGTTGGACATTTTGCATCTGATGTTGATCATTTTGTCTCATTTTGGATGATTTTTGCTTCATTTTGTCTAACTTTGGTCCATCTGCGTCTGTTTTGGTGATTTTGCATCTCGTTCATGTTAAACTTGTCATTTTGGATGATTTGAGTCTAATTTTGGAGAAACTATGCATGTTTTTGTCATCCTGAGCCTAATTTTGCACGTTTTTTGTTTCATTTTGGTCATTCTGTGTCTCATATTGGACAAACTGCATCTGATTTTGATTATTTTGTGCCTCACTTTAGACATTTTATGTCTAATGTTGGTTGTTTTCTGCCTGATTTTGCACATACTGTGTAATTTAGGTCATTGTGTGTCACATATCGGACATTTTGCATCTGATTTTGATCAGTTTGTGTCTCATTTTGGATGATTTCTGCCTCATTTTGTCTAGTTTTAATCTATTTGGGTAATCTTGCACCTCATTTACGTTAGACGTTTCATTTTAAAAGCTTTAAGTCTAATTTTGGATGTTTCTTGTGTCTCCTATTGGACAATTTTGCATCAGATTTTAATCATTTTGTGTCTCATTTTGGATGTTTTTTTTTAAATTTTGGACATTTTGTCTAATGTAGGTTGTTTTTCACCGGATTTCAATCATTCTGTGTTTAACTTTAGTTGTTTAATCTCATTTTGATCATTTTTTGTGTCGTTTTGGAGGATTTTTGCCTCATTTTGTGTCTAACTTTGGTCAATCTGTGTCTGTTTTACTGATCTTGCATCTCATTTATGTTAGACGTGTCATTCTGAGTCTAATTTAGGACATATGTGTAGTTTTCGTAATCTTGAGTCTAATTTCAGCTGGTTTTTGTTTCATTTTGATCATTCTGTGTCTCATATTGGACATTTATCATCTGATTTTGATCATTTTGTGTCACATTTAGGATGTTTTCATCTAGCTTGACTGTTTCGTGTCTGATTTTGGACACACTGTGTAGTTTAGGTCATGCTGTGTCTCACTTTGTGTCTCACTTTGGTCGCTCTGTGTCTGTTTTGGTGAATCTGCATCTCATTGACCAACGTGTCATTGTGGATGTTCTGTTGATGAGTCTCACTGAAGACATGTCTGAGTTTGGACATTTTTTTTGTTTCACTTTGAATATTTTGGATCTCGTTTTAGATGTTTGGCACCAGATTTTTGTAACTTCATGTCTCGTTTTGGACATTTTGCATCATATCTTGATGGTTTTCTGTCTCATTTTGGTCGTTTTGTGTCTGTTTTTGGTAGTTTTGTGTCTCCTTGATGTTATACGTCTCGTTTTTTTGTTCATAGTCTCGTTTTTTACAATTTCTGTCTCATGTTGGACGTTATGAGTCTAACTTTGGACATTTTCTGTCTCATGTTGGTAGCTTTGAGTCTTTAAATGTCTCACAACACCGGTCCGTGGCCTCCATCAGTCAGCAGAGCTGCCTCCAGAGCCTGGAACTGATTTACAGGCTTTTTATACTTCAGCTCATTTCACATAATAGCATATTGAAAATTAAATATTCAGGACGGTTCTGACTAATCCGATCTGTCTTTTTCAAATGGATTATTAATAATAATGTCGTGCATTTCAAACTCTTCCTCGTGTGTCGCTGTGGAAGCTGCAGACACGAACAGCCTCCACCAACTACAGGAGAATCCTTTTGGTCATTTTCGTTGCCTTGTGCCTCATTTTGGTGGTTTTACGTTTTGCTGACACTGTAGGTCTCATTTTGGATTTTGTACGTTTTATTTTGGAGCATTTTTGTCTCATCTTGGTGATGTTCCATCTCATTGTCTTCATAAGTCTCATTTTAGACTCTTTTTTTTGTTATTTTGCCTCATTGGGATGATTTTGCGTTTTTTTTTTTTGTCTCACTTTGAACATTTTACGTCTCATTTCAGACATTTCTTGCCTGATTTTGGTCATTATGCATCAAATTTTGGTTGTTCTGTGTCTCGTGTGGGCAGTTTTTTTTCTCATTTCGTTGGTTTTGCATGTCGTTACCAATACATGTCTCACTTTGGACTTTAAAGGTCTTTTTTTCTGTCTTGTTTTAGATGTTTTTTCTCTCATTTTGATAGTTTTGTGTCTCGTTAAAGTCTCATTTTAGATGTTTTTTTGGTGTTGTTTCAGTCCTGTAACCCATTTTGGTGATTTAATGTCATTTCAGCCATTTTACGTTTCATTTTGGTGTTTTTTTTCCCATTTTGTTCACATTTTCTGGCTTATTTTGGCAGTTTTGCGCCTCGTTTCGGACGTGTTTTGTCTCGCTTTGTTCTTTGTCTCTTCTTCATTATGCCAAATAGTTTACCTGAGGTTTCCCTTGTGAGACACTTTGTGAAAAAAGCGCTTTCTAAACATGTTTTTTTAAATATTATTATTACAGTAACATGAGGAGACGTCATTATTTTACTGAGCGTTGAGCTGAAAACCATTTCTTTGCCTCCACGTTGTTCATTCACTGCGTGGGATTAATAAATGGCCTCGTCTGTCTGCGGTATTGTACGTTAATTCAGCGCTGATGTTGTAGTTTCTCGTCCTCCTTCAGCCTGGTGGTGTGTTTAGACGTCAGCTGCTGGTCCGTTTGTTCTGGCTGTGTGTGTGTTTAGCAGGTTGTGAGGATCCAGACAAAGTAAACTCGCCCTCCAGCTGTGCATCAGTCCTCCCACTCGTCGCCGAGGAGACGCTGCACTCGGAGCGGATCCAGGTGGAATTCATCCACATCGACGTTCCGCTAATAGAGTATTCATTACTCATTAGCAGCAGTCAGCCTGTCAAATCAATACAACCTCTGCTCGAGCAACGAGCCCGAGCCGGAGCAAATCCTTGTTCAACAGCCCGGCCCAACATCCGCGGATCAGATCCCGGCGATAAATCTGAGCCCGAGACGCCGTAAAACCGCCGTCGATACGTAGCTGGAGCAGGATTCACGGCGTGGTGGTTTTACTGTGTCTCACTTTGGCTGTTCTGCTCTTATTTATGGACATTTGGGCTGTTTTTGGTTATTTCACGTCTGTTTTTTAGACGTTTTGTGTCTGAGATCAGACCTTTGTGAGGTCTTGTGTGTGTCAGGTGAATGATTAAGTGTAAACTAGACATGCTTGTGTAAGATGGTTGTGTTTATCAGCCATGTCTGCTGCCTTAACTTTGTCTCTGACAGTTTTTATGCCTGTTTTGTGTCTCATTTTGGGCTTTTGGTGTCTTATTCTGGTTGTTTCGTGTCTCATTAATTAGTTTTATGTCTAATTTAGGTCATTTTTGTCTCATTTTGAACATTTTTTGTCTCATTTTAGCCATTTTGTGTCTAATTTTGGTCATTTTGTCTTATTTAATCCATTTTGTGTCTCATTTGTTCGTTTTGAGTTTCGTTTATATCATGTTGCGTCTCATTTTACACTGATTTGATTAGTAGATTTTGGGCTGTCAGAGTCGTATCAGCTGCTTTTTGAAGTCGTGGAAACAAAGCTTCACTTCAGTCTGCTCTTCTCCTGTCCTCTGTTTAACCCGGTAGCTGTCATTATCGATCACTTGTTATTGTGACGTGTAACCAATCAGACGCCACAGAGTCGCTGAGCTGAAGTGGCACCTTTAGTTTATCAGTAATCGATTGTTAAAACTGACGATACAGATGACGGTCCGTCTGCTGATCTGACCCTCCGTTGTGTCCGATGCTCTCTCTGCAGATGGAGGACATGCAGTGGCCTCGCGGCGAGCAGGACGTCCCCACCTCCGTCTGCAGCCTGCCCTGCAAGGCCGGCGAGAGGAAGAAGGTGGTGAAGGGCATGCCGTGCTGCTGGCACTGCGAGCCCTGCGACGGCTACCAGTACCAGCCCGACGAGTTCAACTGCAAGCTGTGCTCCTACAACATGAGGCCGAGCGCCAACCGCACGTCCTGCCAGCCCATCCCCATCACCAAGCTGGAGTGGCACTCGCCCTGGGCCGTGATCCCCGTCTTCCTGGCCATGCTGGGCATCATCGCCACCATCTTCGTCATGGCCACCTTCGTGCGCTACAACGACACGCCCATCGTCCGGGCGTCGGGCCGCGAGCTCAGCTACGTCCTGCTGACCGGGATTTTCCTGTGCTACATCATCACCTTCCTCATGATCGCCAAGCCGGACGTGGGCGTGTGCTCCTTCAGGAGGATCTTCCTGGGCCTCGGCATGTGCATCAGCTACGCCGCCCTGCTCACCAAAACCAACCGCATCTACCGCATCTTCGAGCAGGGCAAGAAGTCGGTGACGGCGCCGCGGCTGATCAGCCCCACCTCGCAACTGGCCATCACCTCCAGCCTGATCTCGGTGCAGCTGCTGGGGGTTCTGATCTGGTTCAGCGTGGACCCGCCCAACACCATCGTGGACTACGACGAGCAGAAGACCCTCAACCCCGACCTGGCGCGAGGAGTGCTGAAGTGCGACATCACGGACCTGCAGATCATCTGCTCGCTGGGTTACAGCATCTTGCTGATGGTGACGTGTACTGTTTACGCCATCAAGACCCGCGGCGTCCCCGAGAACTTTAACGAGGCCAAACCCATCGGCTTCACCATGTACACCACCTGCATCGTGTGGCTCGCCTTCATCCCCATCTTCTTCGGCACGGCGCAGTCTGCGGAGAAGGTAAGAACCAGAGGCCTCCGCGTTCAAGGCTGTTAGAAGCTAAAGCGCAGTTTCACCAGAACCGCTGTTCCGTCTCCAAACAGGAAAAGCTTCAGAGGTTCTCATGTCGTCGTGCCGTCAGTGAAATCCTCCGACTGGTGTCAAAACAGAGAAACAACCTTCAGAGTTTCAACCTGCCATCATTTATTCATGACGACAGTGAAATAAACTGAATATCAGCCACACATCCAGCTAGCATCAAATATTCAGCGTTCACTTCACACTCGTATTTAATGCTTTGAACAGAGAACTTTATGGGTGTTTTATTTATTTTTGCTGCTGATCACGTTTTTCTTCACTGTGAGCTCATCTTTCACTGCAGCATGAAGTCCTGCAGCAACAACAGAACCATGAACAGAAGCAGAAACATGTTTCCTGTGCAGTTATTATGTCAACATCGTGTTTTAAAAAATGGATTTTCTTTATTCATTTTGCAAAAAAAGAAAAGAATGAGTCTAATTTTGACCATTTTGTGCCTCATTTCCGGCCTTATTGTGGTTGTTCTATCTGTCATATTGGTCACTTTGCAACTCGTTTTGGTCAGTTTGTTCCTCTTCTTGGTAGTTTTGCATCTCCACTGGGTTGTTTTGGCCATTTTCAGTTCCATTTTGGTAAATTTGTGTTGTTTAGTGTCCCATTTGTTCAATATATTGATAATTTTTGCTGTTTTGTGTCTCATTTTGGTTATTTTATGCTTCGTATTGATAACTTGCTTCTTGCTTTAGTCAATTTCCTCTAATTTGGTAGTTTTGTGCCTCATTTCCGGCCTTATTTTGGTTGTTCTGTCCCTCATATTGGTCACTTTGCAACTCGTTTTGGTCAGTTTGTTCCTGTTCTTGGTAGTTTTGCAACTTATTTGGGTTGTTGTTTGCCTCATTTTGGTAAATTTGTGTCTGGTATCGGTCGTTTTGTGACTCATTTGTTCAATATTCATAATTTTTGATAACTTGCTTCTTGCTTTAGTCAATTTCCTCTAATTTTGGTAGTTTTATGTCTCTTTTTGATTATTTCCTGTCTTGATTTGGTCAATTTCTTCTTCATTTTGATGGAGTTGAATCTGATTTTGGTTGCTTTGGCCATTTTTTTCCTTCATTTTGACCAATTTGTCTCCCATTTTGGTAAATTTGTTCCTCACTTTGATCACTTTGTGCCCCGTTTCAGTTCTCATTTTGATCATTCTATCCCTCATATTGGTCACTTTGCAACTCTTTTTGGTCGATTTGTTCCTCTTCTCCGTAATTTTGCATCTTATTTTGGTTGTTTAGTTTCCAGTTTTGGTTGTTTTGTGTCTCATTTGGTCAATTTGTTCCTCATTTTAGCAGTTTTATGCCACATTTAGTTAATTTTGTGTCTAATTTTCATCATTTTGTGCCTCATTTCATGTCTCTTTTGGTCAATATGCAACTCATTGTGGTTGTTTTGGGCTTTTCCAGTCTCATTTTGGTTGTTTTATGCCTCATGTTGGCCATTTTGCAATACATTTTGGTCAATTTGTTTCTCTTCTTGGTAGTTTTGCATCTCCATCGAGTTGTTTTGCCCATTTTTAGTCTCATTTTTGGTAATTTTGTGTCTAGTATTAGTTGTTTTCTGTCTCATTTGGTCAGTTTGTGCCTCATTTTAGGTCTCATTTCATCAATATATTCATAATTTCAGCTGTTTTTTGTCTCATTTTGGTTACTTTATGCTTCACATTCATAACTTACTTCTCGCTTTAGTCAATTTCCTCTAATTTTGGTAGTTTTATGTCTCATTTTGATCATTTTGTGTCTTGATTTGGTCAATTTGTTCTTCACGTTGATCAAGCTGAATCTCATTTTGGTTGCTTTGGCAATTTTTTCCTTCATTTTGACCAATTTGTCTCATTTTGGTAAGTTTGTTCCTCACTTTGACCATTTTGCATCTCATTGTGGTTGTTTTGGTAGTTGTGCGTCCCATTTTGGCAGCTGTGTGTCTCATTTTGCTGGTTTTGTGTCTCACTTTGGTCGTTTTTTTTATCATTTATGTGCTTTTAGTCGAGGTAACATCGGTGTGCCTGAGGCTTCTCTTCTGTCACATCAGTTATATTCAGACCAGGTCTTATCATGGAACAAAAACCCTCAAATCACAAACAGTGCTCATCAGTCGCTGCACTGCCGACTTCACACGGACACACAGTCGCCTTTTGTCGGGGTTTCCGGTGTGATTCCATTCATGTAAACGTCGAGCGACTGAACTGCGGCGCCGCTCTGAAAAAGTGAACTTTGTTTGTAAAAACCCAGGAAGCGGCGTCGGGCTGAACTCCGGAGCTGCCCGTGAACTTCTTCGGCATTAGCGGCCGAGTGAATTTAAATTGCATTTTGATTAAGTACAAATATCCCTCTAATACCTGAGCTGCCGGTGATTGAAGTCTGGAGCCTCACAGCAGGCCAGCGGCAGAGATTAGGAGGCTTCTGCTGCTCCGCGGATGCCCCGGAGGAGGCCGGCGTTATCAGGTGACACCGCCGCTCTCCGGTTTGATCTCGCTGGAAAGACTAAGCCTCTGCGCCGGGCTCCGGGCGTCACAGACATGGACGGGGCTAAACCCTTCTGATGGGCCGCTGTCCCCGTCCTCAGGGATACACTTGTCCACTCAGACGGCTTCAGGCCACGCTGATAATCTGCCGAGGCCACCCTGCAGCCAAACAACACGGCTCTGCAGGCTGGAAGTGGCTCCTCGCCGTCCGAGTTAGGAGTCGGCCCTGGAGGACAGTCTGAGCAGGAAATAAACCCTCGGATGTGGTTCTTTAAGCCACTTACAGTCATCTGGGGCAGTTTGGTTGATGGATAAGTCGCACTGCCCCGAACGCAGCATTTAAGCTGCTGCTTGGAGGTTGTTTATGGTTGTTTTTATTGAAGTAAAAGGAGGTTTTAAAAATGTTAAATGGAAAAAGCAACAAGTTGTTTAGATTTGGTGGCCGTGGCGGTCACAGTGGTGTCCTCGTGCAGCGGCGCTCTGCTCCCAGAGCTCCTGCAACGCTCGCAACGCTTCCTGGACGTCCTGCTCTGTAAAGCTCGGTCCGTGGTAACAGCTGATTCTCCTGAACTGTGTCTTCACTTTGTACCTCGGTAGAGCTGTTGATTTTGTTGTTGTTTTTTGGTCCCTTTCTGCTCTTTCTTTTGGCTTCTTGTGATGATTTCACATCACATTTTGTTTGTGTTGCACAGAATTTGCTGTAGTCGGAATTTTTTTTGCCTCATTTTTGTTTTTTCCACTATTTTGGTTGCTTTGTTCCACATTGTGTGGTTTTATATCTATAACTTGCCAACATTTTGGTCATTTTGACAATTTTTTGGTCTTATTTTGTGGGTCTTCAGTTCTTTTGAGTCCCTTTCTGAGCATCCATTTGGCTATTTGTGGTAATTTTATCTCGTTTTGTTAATGTTGGGCAGAATTTCTCATATTAGTCGCTTTTCTTTGGTCTCATTTTAAGCAAAATCTTTGGTCTTTCTCATTTTGCTTGTTTTATGTCTCGATTTGGTTTCATTCGTCTGATTTTGTCCTTCAGTCTGTGTTTGTGGTTTAATTATGCAGTGAGAGAAAAACTGAAAATCATACAAAAAACTGAGCTCCATTGATGTGAAACAGTTTAAATCGGCCCTCGGTTCAATAAAAACATCCCGAACCACAGCCGCGTCGTTAATCAAACATTTCAAACGGTTTGTTTCCGCTGCAGAAACACAGAAAGTTCAACATCAGAGTCGGCTGTTGGCCCGATGATTAAAAGGTCACGCGGGTGGAGATACGCTCACGTTATTTACTTTGTAGTGAGAAGGAGTCGAAATGGAAAAAGGATCATAAAAAACCTGCAGCAGACAGATAAGAGATGTGAGATAAGGCAGCAGAGGGAGGAGGAGGAGGAGGAGGAGGAGGGAAACAGAGGGAAACCGAAACCCAGAAGACAACAGAGAGATGTACGAGGGTTTATATTCGGCCGGCTCCCAGGATTTCTCCTGCAGAGCCGCAGACATCAGCTGTGATTTCACCTCCTCCACACTAATGAGCTCCTGGTTCTCAGTCAGAGACGAAGGAAGCAGCCTCACACAGGCCTGTTAGACATCAGATCATCAGCCCCAATAACCCCAGAAATTAGGGCGACTCTCGACTCACCGGAGACGACAGAACTTCTCTTTCCCATTATCTGATCGTCCTGTGTGTCAGTTTGGGTGTATCTGTGGGTGTTCACTGGGATGCTTGTGGTCGTTTGAGTCATTTTGGTCATTTTTGAGTGTTGTTTCGCAATTTATTGGAGCTTTTGTCTCTCTTGTGGTTGTCATGCTTTAATTTTGGGGCGTTTGTTGGAATCTTTGTCGTCTAATCATATTTTATGCTAATTTTGTTCCATTTCGGTTGTTCCTCATCTCGTTTTGGTTATTTTGTCAGTTTACTGGGGATTTATTTTGGTCTTTGTGGTAACTGTAGTTGTGTTTTTGCCAATTTATGCAGTTTATGAACTTTTTGCGCCAACATTTTTGGTCTTTGTGTGTCTCGTTCGATTGCCTTTTTTGGTTTTGTGGCTCATTTTTGTCTCTAGTTTTGGTCGTTTCGTGTCTCATTGTGGTTGTTTTGTTTCTTTTTCTAGATAGCTGTCTTTTAAACATCTTAAGCTTAGTTTTGGTCGTTTTGTGACTCATTTAACTGTGACCATTCATTCACCTAAATTCTTTTACTGTGCAACAAACAGATTCACAGTTTCTGCGGTGATATATTTTGGAACGATGCTCAGCGTGAATGCAGCAACGTCAGGGCCGGCAACACGATTTCTTACTCAGCATCGTTGCATTATTGCAGGGAACTGTGTGTAAACCAGTAACTGCCATTAATAATTCATCTAATTGGTTGTTTTGTGTCATTTTCTTTGCATTTTAGTTGTTTTGCATAATTCAATTGATTTGAAACATTCAACCAATGAAGCAGAAGAAGAAGCAGGTCATGCATGTCTTAT